TGTTGTTGTGAAACGGCAAGCTTCTCATTGACTCGCAGTGAAGTTGTGCCATTTTGTCTTCGTTCCGCTGGAATTTTTTCGTGAAATTTCAGTCGCCAACTTTCCTTTTTGTCGGTTTGCCAACGGATTGGTTTAGTTCGCCAATGTCTTTCTCAGTTTGTCTACATCCCATAAAATTCGAAATCGCCAAGTGGTAAAAGCAAATTGGTGATCTTTTACAAGCTATTTAGTTTAAGCTTAACTTACGGGTGTAAGTTATAATCTTTTCAATATTTCATATTGTTTACGTTTATGTTAAATTAAACTTAAGTCTAAAAATAATTCATTTAAGTGATTCTTGAAACGTATTTTCTGTGAGTGTCAACCAGAGCGTGTGTGGTTAAGAGGCTGGTACATTTCATGAAAAAATCAATTTATTTGCCATAAAGATTTCTTGCTGGCTCCGTAGTACAATAGTATTTGCTGTTATTGTGCAAATGTAAGGCTGTTTGTAACCAATTAATTTATACAAGCATGCTATGCCTGGAAATGATCAAACTGCACTCTATTGTCATTCACAAATAATTTGCTGTGCACAATCAATATTAAGTGGAGCATACTCCATCCAAATACATAATTCAAGATCGATAATTATAGGGTAATCACACAGCTGGAAGATTGGCAGCTGGCCTGTGGAGAAGTTGCCTTATGCTAGTTTGATTCTTTGTTGCCAAAAAAAGATTATTTTGCCATCATCTAAACTACTGGATCTTGATGTTTGTAGTAATGTCAACAAACGTTTCATGGCTGAAGCCTCTGATGTTATCCTTTGGTCTGTATAATTGTTTAATTCCACTGTCTGAGGGTCTTTGGTTTTAACCACTCCCATTCCTCTGGATTCCTCTAATAGTACTTTTAAATTTTTTTAAAACTTTTTTGAACTTTTTTACAACTAATAATTAATGCTCAGAACAAATATAGGTATTGTTGTTATATGTACTAAAGTAGGTATTTGAGTCATGTCTCTGGTGTTTAAAACACACAAGCCTCAGTAATGATCACTGTCGTTCAAAAATATTCAATAATTTATAACATGAGAGCATTGTTCCAGGTACACTGGATGACTTCATTGTTTTTTACTATCCTTCACATCGTCAGTAGTGGGAGGCGTGGTGGCCTCGTGCCTGGTGCACTCATCTCCAGTACAAGCGGCCCAGGTTCGAGCCTTGGCCAGGGACATTGTGTTGTGTTCTTGGGCATGACACTTTACTCTCACAATGCCTCCCTCCACCCAGGTGTATAAATGGGTACTGGCAAAGTTAATGCTGGGGGTAACCCTGCGATGGACTAGCATCCCATCCAGGGGGGAGTAGAAATATTCCTAGTCGCTTCATGCTAAAGAAACCTGGATAAGGTCCGGCCTGATGGGCCACCTGGCTTGTATGCAGAGTTAACCTTACCTTCACCTGGTCAGTAGTGATAATTGACTTTGTTACACTAAGCTGGATCTGGAAGGTATTATCGGGATCTGGAATTTGACCAACGTATGGTCAAACATTCTGCCAAATGCTTCTTGATTTTGATTCGTGTGTTTATAGCTTTCCTTATAAGAGTTGAATCACCTAAGTGTTACTGATGATTTTTGGTAATTTACATTGGGAGGCAGAAGAATGTTTGTTCTTGTGGCAAAATGTTAAATGTTTGGCGATATTTCAACTTGTGACCCAAAAGATGAGAGTGAGTCAAACTGGCTGGCTTCTAGATTCCAATCAGTGGTTTATCTTTCCACTTGGTTTTAGATTTTTCTCTGATCTAGTTCTATTCATCAGTTGTGATTTATTAGTGTAGAGTGCACTATTGGGATGGTTTAGGGGCTGCTGTTTGGTCAGGCACGAACACAATAAGGTGTAAACTGTAACGTTTAATTAATTAATTTCAATTAACCCATTGATGCCTGAATGAAATTGCCCACGACCCACCCCTAATTCCCTGGTGTTTTTTGGAATATTTCAGAGCGAGCGAAAGCACAAAAATAAACCATATGCACAGTAACCACAGACATGAGATCAGGTTTCAAGGCATCGTTTATTTAAAGTTGACTAACTGAAGGGTCAAAATATTAAAAAATATTAACAAAAAGAACTCAACATGATATGTAAAACTGATGAGAAACTAAGAAATTATATTATTTCTTTGAGGCATGACAAAATGTCCTACTGAAGCTGAGAAAATTGACTTTGCAAAAATGAGTTAATTATTGACTATGGAGGACAAAAGTGAAACCAAATACAACAGAATTTCATTCTTGTACTGTAATGGTTAACATTTGAGAAAACAACGAAAAATAAAAGCGAAGAACTCATGTAAAAATCAATCTGAAAACAAGAAATTGAGTAATTTCTTTGCCGCGCGACGAAATATTACCATGCTGCGAAAGAAAGATGAAAGTCGTAAATCAAAAAGATGACAAAAACAAGCCAAGTATTTTGAGATCAGTGGTATTCCAACTGTCTTAAATTAGTGGCCATTTACTTCTTTTCTCAGCGGTTCTGTAGTAGCTGAATAAGACTCCAAACAATATTTGAATGAAGCGAATAAACTAAATAAACAAAGTGCCTCAAGGTCAACACAAATTAAATATGCAGAAATCCAGTGTCCAAGTCACTGTTCACTCTTAAAACCTAAAATTCCCAAATACAGGGAACCAAATAAAAGAAATGCAAAAGGAAGTTCAATAACAACAAATTTTCATTCAAGCTGAGGTGAAGAAACTTATTTAAAACCAGAAAATTGTTCAAAATCTCGCAGATGTGCTTCGCTGTATGACCGCATGTTCAAATTATTCTTCACGCAAACGCGTCATTCTAACACCTGTGGCTTTACCCATTGTTCCAAAAGTTAAATTCAACTTTGAAGTAATAATGTACATTACTCAGTGCTGGAAATAATTTTTCTTCTTTAACAGGACATGTGTCCTTTCAAATCTTCATTTTGGTCGGACATCTTATCAATTTGACCGGCCATTAATTTGCATAATTGATTAGCATAATTAATTAGCATAGTGTAATTTATTAGCAGACTGTAAAAACTGCGTTTAAATTTGATTTATTTATCATTTATGATTAACTAGATGAATTTATCTACTAGATGACTGCATCGATCCCTCCTGGTTATCTTGTGGTTATATATTTTTCAAGCAAACCTAGTTTCCTATTGAATGCTACCATGAAAGGGACATAGTCAGCTTTAGGACTGCGCTGACCTGGACACTAGTTTTCTCACTTTGAAAAAAGTTCACCTCAACCTGAAATCAAAGTACATCTAGAAATCCACTTCAATCTTTGCAGTGTTTTGCTTGATTTTCAATTGTGTACTGAAAAAACTGTTTTTTGAGTGAGCTTTTGCTCATCCTATGATATTATTTTTATCATATTTGGTTAATAATAGTATGGATCACTTCTCAGTGATAGGCAAATTAGCTATGAAATGGTATCTAATGTGCATGTGCACCAGCTGACTGTGTCCCTTTAAAGCAAGAGCCCATCACTAGGAGTGTGCAACTACCCCATTTATTCCTGTCCTAGCCTTTTCATAGACCGATCTATTTTTAGTTTGAATTCACCGCAAATCCAGACCTCGGTGACCAGTCACAAGCACGGACTTTATAATTTCACCAGAAGATTAGGTCAACACGTCCACCTCAGGCTGCCATTTTTCTCCTTACTGATTTGCGCTCATATATACCAGAACTGACCTTTTTCGTGGAAAAAGAAGCCTAAAAATAGACTGGTCTGTAAAAATACTGTTACATAGGCTTAGTATGGGAGTTGCCTGCTCCTAGTGATGGGCTCCTGACCAAAGTTGACTGTAGCTAGGGTACAAACATGAAGTGCTAACACCATATCACAATGCACATAATGCATAATAGGGCGATCTCTGAAGAGTATTTTATTTGGCAAGTACAAGAAAGATGAACACTTCTGCTTTATGATATGGCAGAAGCCCATTATGGGCTCCTGGATATGGCTCAATCTGTCAGAGTCAAGGGCCTAAAATAAAAAAAAAAAACTGGAGTTGCCATTTGGCCACTAAGTGACAAAAATCAGGTAGGAATTTTACTCAGAAAAGAACTCAATGCATAAAATCTGTAAAGAAAAATTTTCCAAGACTTTTTTGGCTGCTAATTTTGTGTACGTAGCTAATGTACTGTCTGTGAAGGATTCATGCATTTCAAGAGACACAATCGGTGGGCATACATGACGTGCTCAATGCTCAAGGATTTGCAAAGAAGATTTCAAACATGATCAGCCATTTGCAAGTTTTCCGATGTGAGGGAATCATTCACAGCAAAGCAAAAGGATAGATTTTTTTCTTTTCTTATGTTGAATGTTATAGAAACAAAGATCTTTCACTAAGTAGTTCTGGCAGGACATAATGTCTGAGAAAATAACCGTTATTGATTGTCAACAGAGAGAAACATAGTCGCCATTGTGGTAGCCTGTGAATGCAGACATACTTTCAGCTGTTGACTAAACCAGAATTTTTGGCCGCCAAAGATGAAATTTTAGCCGCATTGGCGACTGTACCGGTGGCAATTTCGATCCCTTTAATGATGTATCTAAACAAATTTTATGGGTGGACAATAACTTGGTGTTGGTGAAAAATTTAAGAACATTTTGCAATGGACTGTCTTGCAGGGCCACTGATCAAAACTTTATTTTCTCGAGAAATAGCAGTATTTACTATAATACAAGTGTTGGCAATCTGAAATTGAATTCTAAGTGTCGCCAACAGTTCAAATGCCTTTCCTAGAAAATATTTTGTCCAGTACAAGTTACAATACTGAATTAAGGAAAAACACTTTACTGCAGGCTATAGTCTATTCATCACTAGGTCAACCTCATGTGCAGAGCGCTATGTGACATTCACACACCATCAAAGTAGACCAAACATGCAAAGTATGTGCGTGAATGCACTGCTCTAATCTTTGATTACTACTAGTTTTAAGTTTTTATAATAGTATTTTTTGTTTGTATTTTTCTATTTGAATTTGTAATTGTAGTTGTTTGGTAGATTTTAAGGACCACAATGAGAACTACTGGTTTTACCAGTAATTGTGTTATCCAATAAAATCATTATTTATTTGATATTTAAAAGTGTTCTGCTACTGACTGTTGTCTTGAACTTCATGTTGAAGTTTGCAATTGAATTCCCAAGTCGCCCAAGCTCAACACGTGAACACAGCTATCACGTTAAAAAAAAGGGAATATATATAAGATTTCTGCCCTATCATCTATTTAATAACTAGCATTGTGATCAGCTTATAATTTTGCTTATGAGAGTCGCAGCATAACACTTAAAGCCATCTCACTTTTGCCACTCCTGATTGGTTAAAAAAAAAATGAAATTAACAGTGCAGCATCCTCCTTCCATGCACTCTTCTGTTATCCAATTGAACTTCACTTTCAGATTTTGTGTTGCAATCTCCTTCCTCATCAAGAGTTTCAGGCTGGTGTACCCATTTGAGAAAAGGAGATATGTTGCCCTTACAGAAATCAAATGTCTCACTTTAAATGTCAACTCTGTGTTTGTTCTTCCCACCCATGTCTTTTTTCCATCAACCTGTAACTTTTTGTGCATCTCAGCTTTGCTAATCCTTTCTAGATTTTGGCATCATACTGACTTGTATATACTCTACAGGTACCTTCTCCTTTTCATCGACAGAACACTTCATAACACTTTGGCTAAGAGGTAAACATTGCCAGTATATGTCCATCACTATCTACTATTTTTATCCACTCAAGCTGATCAGCTGTATTTCTCTGTCATCCATATTTCCTCTCCAAAAAGCCAACTTTCTTTTTTTTTCTTTTTCTCATTTTCAGTTCATATCCTTTTGTAGTAAAAAACTTTTATGTAACAGAAATTGACCTGGGTAGCTTAATGCTGCCACTGAAAGCTATGAAACTTTCTGCTGATCACAAGTTGAAACCTTTCATGGCACAGGCTTGGTACACAATACATTTAGGAAGAGCAGTGCCAGCATGGTTCTGGTCTATTTGAGAAACCAACATAGTTCAGGTGGCCTGTACAAGCATTGTAAATTTACCTTATTCAAACATTTTGTTTATCTTTAAGGTAGCTCCCCAGAGTATTTATGAACACCCTTCCCAGAGTGCAAGTTAGAAAAGGAAACTTATTAACCTCGAATGTTCAATTTGTTCTGTAAAATCTCAAACCAAGACCTTGGCTTGCCATATTGACTGAGCAATAACAAGGTCTAGATACGGCAAGGCAGAGGTTTGCCTTATTTTTGCAGCTTGTAATCAGCTTGTGTGTATTATGGAAGAATATATATATAATGCCCCAGAATTAGCCGATCAGAGTATGTGTTATATTTGTTACCTGTGCAATCACAAGCCATATGAATTTATTAACTCTGTGTATCTTGTTTTAGTGCATACTTTCAGAAATGAAATCATACCCAAGTTGAAGGAGTACAACATATTCTTTGAGGGAAGGAAAGCTCTACAGTTAACCAGCAAGGAGGTAAATAAATGTCTTCACAGGTTATAAGAGGGTCGTACAGGGGTATTCTCATGATGCGTGATTAGCTGATTTATTTTCCGTGAAACGTGAATTTGGGAAATTATTCTTTTTTACTTGTGACCTGAAGGTTTTGTGTGACCTGTGAAGAACCTGAATTATTAACCAATATTCGTGATTTTACCACTCTATTCTATGTGATTTTGAGTGTGAGACCTTTGAACGGTTAGAGTTGTCTATCGAGAGTGACTTAGGTATACGATTTGCAATATGAAGCCTTGACTTAGCCACGCGTGATTTTGCTTTCTTCAAACACTGTTTCTAGTGTAAGAACAGGTTATTATGTTCGACAGAACGCAGTTCTAATCACGTAATGCATAAAAATTTGAGACCTGCGTATCTATCTATCTATCGATGTCTGTCTGTCTGTCTGTCTGCCTGCCTGTCTGTCTATCTATCTATGGAGGGACACCAATTTGGCCCCCAAAAAATTCTTCAGGGGTGGATGACGTCATGTCCATGTTCATCATATCTCCATGTTCTCGTTGCGTCTCCATGTATTTATCTGCTGTTACTGGCAAGTTGCGTATTTGAAGTTTGAAGCTAGAGTTATGGCGTTTAATGACCTTGTAGCTAAGATTTATCGATGTCTTCATGAAATGTGTACGTCTTTTGGGACAAACACAAAGGTGCAGTTCGGCTGCTTGTTGTCTACCGTGTTGTCTTCGACCAAAAACACTGCTTTGTACAGAATAAATTGATGGAGGAAATGTGTCGTTTCTCTTTGCTGGCTTTGATTTCTGTGCGCAAACTATATTACATGTACTTTAACTTACTGAGTTGTAGCTCGGCAGATGGCCATGATTCGTGGTTATAAAACCATCTTACTGAGTTGACTAACTCGTTTTCACAGGTTAAATGAATGGAAACAGAAGCCACACATTTAACTAGAGAATGTTGATATGTAAACAAACACCTAGAAAGAATGTTCAGCTAGTTAAACGGCTTAGTGAATAACAGTTTATTTATTTTACATGAATGTAAATGATTATGTTGTTCTGGTCCCCTTTAGTCTCAAGTCATTGAAAGTAAATTAAAAATAACAAACAAAGCTTGGTGTAGAGGCAGAGCCTGAATTATGAAACTGTGCAAACCAAACCGAATTTCCCTTTGGGCAAACGAGAAGATTTTCATGAGCACAAATCGAATGGGAGCTTAAGCTTAAGCTTTTTCTTTTTGTTTACGTTTTGAATTCATGCCAAGTTACATCAAAACATGAAATTTTGAAGGCCTACTATTTTTGCGTGTCTATGGAAACTGGTGCCGTCACACAACATTTTGAACAACAAATTGGCCATCGTAGTCTTAGCCTGCGTAGCAAGCGTTTCCGTGGGGTTTGGAAGCAAAGAAAGACCGAGGAACGGGATTTTCGGTGTCTTTTTTTTTTTTTATTAGCATAAAAAAAAAAAAAAAAAAAAAA